GTGGACAGAAACAGAATAAAACAGAATATTATGAATGAAGCATGAGTGAAAATCATCAGAAACACATTGATATTAATGATTTCGTGACATTTTAGGGGCGGCGTCGCACAAATGAGAAATCTGTATGAAATAAGAGTTTACAGAGTAACAAATTGAAAATCAGTTGTCGTCAGTATTGATGTTTGGTGGGAAACGTTTTAATAAATCAGATTTTACTGATGCACAGATGTTAGAATCTCTAACAAAACCAAAAATAGGAGCTAAAAAAGGCTAAAAAGCTGGTGACACCTTCCACATTACGCAGACAGATGATTGTTAATTTAAAGTATTGATTAGTGGAACTTTCAGTGAGACTTTCTGAGAGTTCGGGACCGGCAGAGTCTCTGCCAGCTTCAGTGTAAAACAACACTGAGGACGAACAGCTCGATCTGCTGAGCTGGCTGCCACACAGCTCCTGACTGGGCACAGCGGGATGTTTCCAGGAAGCGCACACACACACACACACACACACACACAGACCTGTTATCACCAGTGTGTGTGTGTGTGTGTGTGTGTGTGTGTGTGTGTGAGGTTTATCTCCAGGGAGGTCGTGTGCAGCAGTTTTCATGGAATCAGATTAAAGAGGTGAATCAGACCTTAAAGCAGAAATCCTCCTCTGATCAATATCATCACATCTGAACCATGTGTGTAACTATAACTATGACTATAAGTATACTGTAACTGTAACTTTAATGTAACTGTACTGTAACATGTCCTGATGTTTAAAACCGGTCTGTAGTTCAGCGTTTGTTTTCTAGTTCAATATTTTTAACCTTTGGTGGGAATGCAGCTGATCTCTGCGTTGCCCTGACGGCGACTGTTGCCGAGGTGGTCAAATTGGTCTTTAATGGAAAGACACAATAAAGAAACCACAAAGTGTTTGTTGAGTCGGGTTTGACTCCTGACACCCCGAGGCTGAGTCAGCTAACATTAGCTGCACATGCTAACTAGCTAACAGCCACTAACATTACTGTAAACAGCAGTTAGCTTCTTTTAGCAACAAGCTCATCTGGAGACTCAGTAATGACGTCATAGAAATAGTTTCCAGTGTTTATATAAAAGCGTATTTTTTGTGGCACAAGTTGTTGAATCCGTGTACAGACTGAGAATGTTGAGGGTTAAAAAGCTTTGTTTTATTGATCAGGACTGCTTGTGATCAGCAGCCTTTGACTTCCAGATTTTCTCTGTTCGTCTCTTTCAGCCGTCGACAGGCTGCCAACCGTCTCTGCTTAGTCAACGCGTTGGCATCGTTCCTGCCCCCCCGATCGGGTTTCCTGCCTCGGCGCTCCCTGGATCCTTTTTCGGGTCGTCGTAGTGTCACGTAGAGCACAGCGAGGTGTCCTTGAGCGACACACGAAGCTTTTTATCTCTCGCCATAAATCCTCATGTTCGCCGTCCAGTTCCCCGACATCGCTCGAGCTAAAATGAGCATCTCGTAACCCAAGGCGGAGCTGGGAGTGTGTTGTGTAGCAGCAGGGGTTAAAGTGCCGCTGACCCCCACCCGCTCTAAATATAACCGACTCACGGCTGGCTTGCATGAGCACAGGCCGGGCGTCTCTGGTTACCACGACACCCGATACACGACGCACACCGGGCCATGTGCGCCAAGCGGCAGGAAAACACGAGGAGAGTTGTTGGTTCCAGATGCACACATGCAGATTTACACGCCAGCGTCTATATTGGATAAACGGGTAAAAAAAAGAAAGCGCTTGTGTGACGACAGTGGAAAAACAAGTTCAGACATGCCTGAATGTCACAGAGTCTTCGCGCCAAACCTCCTTTTACATCCGAGGAATCTCAACCACAAACTTTCTGTGGTTGCAGTTTGTGACTGATGTGATTATAAATAACAGATACGAATGAAAACAATCATCATGTTACGGATCAAAGACGTGCTGTCACTCAACCATCCATAAGACTCAATACTATCAGACTTGTTTGTTGCAGCCTGTGGAGATTACAATTCAATTAAAATATATCAACATATTTAACTGTAACAGCGAGTTCAAACTAGCTCGTTAGCAGAGCTGCACTGAGCTAGCCTGACAGGGCGAGGTGTTAATAATCGGTTAAACTTTAATAAAGATTTAATGTAATAAATCAGATTTTGTCAGAAGTAGACACAGACTGTACAACCTTTATATGTGACAGAGTGCATTAGCTGCAGTTTTAAGGGTCAAAGGTCAAAGGTGTGAAGTTCTGATGACCACATTCAACCTGACTCAGAGTCAGCGTGATTTCCCCGGAGCTTATTTTGATCGAGCCTTTCATTGTGTTTGTATTGTGCGTCTCTTCATTTATTCATTCGTTGATATGAGTTTATTTTTTATGCAGCCGGTCTTTAAAAAATGAGGACAGAATTTGTCTGAGAGCGTTTGACACAGGCCTGATTTTGGAAAGAAGAAAATAAATCAGCTTCCTCTCCACGATATTAAAGTAGGGCAGAGAAAAACAAGTAAACAGCCTCTGTTTACTCGAGGAAGAAAACATTTCAAATGTTCACAAAATAATTCAGTAGCAAAGAAGTCAGAACAGGATCAAAGGTTATTCTTTGATCTTTGAGTGGAAAACCTGAAGCTGGATTTAAAGGCCGGAGAGGAACCACTTCAGACCAGTTTCAGACTGAATCCCAGCTGACTGGTCAACTGTCTCTGCAACACAAATGAGGACAAACGATGTGACACATTGTGAAGAAACTGAGAAAATCTTAGTAGGTCAGGACAAATTTGGTGAATAGTTTTCAGAAAGTGACACATTACTGGAAACATTTTTAATTGAGAGAACATTTTTAATGGAGAGAACATTTTTGGTGAATAAACCAACTGAAAGTTTTGTGGGCATTTTCAAAAGTGGGGAATTTTTTTTGCTTTTTTTTAAGAAATGAGGAAGTGAAAACATGTTTGAAAAGTTGGGAAATCTCTGGCAAATGAGGATGTTTGGAAAATTAGGAATTTTTTTACAGTTGGTACTTTAATTGTTTCTTTTTTAAAGTTTTCGACTTTTGGATTTTTAAGAAAAACATAACCGTAACGTAATTTTTGGGAACCTTTTCCAGAAGTGGGAACATTAAACTAATAACTTTTGGCAAACAAGGACCTTTTCCAAAAAGTGAGGACAATATTTTAAGAACAAAGAATAGTTTGAAAAGTGAGGATGTCTCTGATTGAGGATGTTCTTGAAAATTTCTGCCAATATGGCCTTTTTGTAAAGTGGGGACTTTTTTGGCAAATCTGGATATTTTAGGAAAGTATATTTTTGAGAACTGATGAGAAACATTTTTTGGGAAAGTGGGAACATTTTTAAATTGAGAAAACGTTTTTGCAAAATGAGAACATTTGTGGCTTTGGAAATTTTGAAAAAGTGAGGAACATTTTTTTGTGGTGACATCTCTGCCAAATGAAAAAAGGTGACGCCAATTCTCGAAAGCATAAAGAATTTGCCCCGTCCTCACTGGTAGATACTTGGTTCTGGGGTTAAGGTGGTTAAGGTCATAATTAGCTTCAGGTTAGCCGCTAAGAAATGTTTTAAATGTCAGTGAGGGTTCTCACAAGTACAAATGTGTGTTTGTATGTGTGTGTGTAAAGGGTAAAGGCGGTCTTAGGTTACACTGGGTCGGGGTTCAGATGTTTGTTTTAAATATAACTTCATGTATCCAGAAAAAGCCGTTCACACACAGTTAGAGGAGTGGGTTTACACTGTCAGGTGTTGGGAACGATTGCGTGGTTTTATCTTTATACTTCTACTGTGTGTGCAAATATAGCCACCAAGTCTACCCAGCAACCCCCCCGGCCTCTCAGGGAGCAGGGTAAGTGGGGGTTGGTGTGTTTAGTGAAGCTATTTTTAGCCCCTTTTCGTCTGAGGATGGTGAGTCCGTTTGTCCGTCCAATATGGAAATAAAACAACTGTCTGTATTAATCCTGCTTCACTTTGATACAGTAGATCACTACATCCTTTTCTCTGCTTTCAATTGATGTGGTGTTCCTCAAGGTTTAGTTTTAGGTCCCACTCTTTTTAACCTTTACATGCTGCCACTTGGAAACGTCATCCGGAGGCCAGAGTTATTACAGTTAGGTTTTAATTTACATTTTGTTTAAAATTTTTGTCAGTTTAGTTACTAGAGTGTGTTTGCTCTTTTCGGTTGTTTAAAACTGTTTAATTCTAGTTTTGTTTTTATTAGTTTCAGTATTAGTTTGAGGTGTTTTTATTACAATACTAGGAGTATTTGACAGGGGCAAGACTGAAGAAATACAGAATGGGAATTGCAACACAAATACATTGACTTACGGTCATGTAGACCTCCCAGTGTTAATAAACACCTCCTTGTGCGTGTTGTGTTGACAAATTTGACCAAATTGACAAAATCTAAAGACCTTTTATTTAGATTTTATTTTATTTTAGTTTTTGTTTTTTTAATAAGGTCTAGAATTTATTTTTATTTCAGATCCCTAAAACTAAACTAAAACTAGGTGTGAAACAACATTTTAATTAACTATAATAACATTGCAGGAGGCACAGCATACATTTCTATGCTGATGACACACAGCTTTACATTGCTGCATCTCCTGATGACTCAGAGGCAATAAATGTCCTTTTAAACTGTATTTTATCAAGCGATGGATGGCAGAGAGCTTTCTAATACTCAGTCAGGACAAAACTGAACCCTTGGACCTTTAAGTTATCTTTGATCCGGATATTGAACTTCACATTAGAAACATCACTAAAAATGCATTTTATAATCTTAACATTTATCTCTAAACCGTTTATCTTTGAAGCCTATAAAGAGACACTAATGCACACCTTTATTATTAACCTGCAGTATTTATTACTGTAATGCTCTACTTACTCATAGAGCTCAATTACAAAACTCAGCTGCACGAGTGTTGACGAGGACCAGAAAGAGAACACGTTACACCAATTTTAAACTATTTGCATTGACTGCCTGTTTGCTTGAACCATCTAGAACCTTTAGGTGTTCTGGTAGTGGAGATTGCCTCTGTTCTAAAAACAAACAGTGTCCATCCCCTTTGACTGCGTTTATGTTTACATCGATGATGCTTGGTGCTCTTTCGGCTCCGAACATGGTCCATCCCTCGAGTGTTGATCAGGATGTTGATGGAGCAGGTCTCTATAAAGATGTGTCCCTAAAAGTCTCAGATTTCCTGTTGTTTGTGTCCCATATCGTCCAAAATCAGATATTAACCAGGAGCAGCCAACATGAATCCTATCCGGCTCCCCTTCCTCAATTCCAAAACCCAATTATTTAATGATGTTTTCAAATTCATTTTTTTTTATCTGTTAGGAAATAGGACAGACGACAAACATAGAGTAAACAACATACATACAAATGCAGTTAAAATGTTTCAAAATATATAAAATGCCACCAGTAGGGTTAGATGTACCTGGGAATGTCTATAGATTAATAATACATTGGGTGAAGATCCCAAACCAGCTCAGGCCTTAATGCTCGACATGGCCCGCTTCGACTTTAAATGGAAGTGACCTGAAGGTAAGTGGCTGTTGTTAGCGTGTGTGTGTGTGTGTGTCCTTTCATTTTAGCCCGTCTGCTGTTCGATGAAACACCTATAAAAAGCTAAGTCGATATAAATACTGATTAAAATTAAATTGTAGCAAGTCTGAAGTAGCTACCACAGCTCCTCAGTGCAGCTGTTGTCATTAATTACACTTTAATCATTGAAGCTAATCTGAACCCCGACTGAGCTGTTTCATCATAAAGGCATCACAACTCTTTGCACAGTTTCATTCCCCCTCAAACAGCCTGAAGCGCTGCCTTTCAGTCTGCTGTTTAGTTATAAAATAAAACCTGTGACTGTCAAAGCTTTTGAAGGTTCAGTGTTGTGACTGCGTGTTGTCAGTGTAAGCGGTGAGTTAGAAACTGAACTGGAATCAGAAGCATCAAGTAAAATATGCACAAACACAACCCTGAAAAGCCTTCAGAGCTCCCAAACGTCCATATTTAGAGCAATTTAAATCCCATTTTCAAGCGCTGCTGAACCCAGACTGTGAGTGCAGCTTTTGAGGCTCAGTTTCCATATTTCATACTTTTTTTGCCATTTTTCCCCTCGATGGAGGTTGGCTCCTGGTGAAAGTAGGTCGACCACAGTGGAAGCTTGGCTTTCCTCCTCATAGGCGCTTCCTCACTTTGGGTTTTCTCTGCAGGAGGAAAAGAGCTCTCAGTGTCTCTGAGGACATACAGGGAAAGAATCACCGTTGAGTGTTTGTGAGCGACAGACCGACGGATGTTTGTGTGGTTTAGGTTTATTTCTGTGAAATAACAAACGTATAATCCTTCTCAGTCTGCATGTTGAGTCTGTTCAGCTGTTATAAACTGATTTAAAATACACATTCAGTAACAGTCGTTGACAGCGAGGCTCACCATTATCACCAATATCACCATTATTACCATAATCACCAATATCAGGATACAGCAGGAAAAATATAAAGTAGAAATAAAGTATTTTCCTGACAACTTTCTACTTTTACATAAATATCTGCATATCTTTTTGCTCCTTAAATTTTAAAAAGTGGCTCCTTATTTCAGTTTTAGTGCATTTGAGGGGAATTATGGATTTTTATTTGGTATCACTGCACGCCTTCCCAACATCACGAGCTTATCGGAGCACGACAGACGTAAGATGACGAACACAACATCATTATCCCTTTTACAGGGTGCAGTGTGTAACACTGAGGAGAATCTCTTGTCAGATAATATTTATAGGTATGTTTTCAGTATATAATCACCTGAAAATATTTGTGTTACCGTAGAATGTTTTTATCTACAGAGGGAGCGGGTCCTTTGCTGGCGGAGTCCGCCATGTTTCTACAGAAGCCC